GTCTTGACAGGTGGTAATCGAGAGACTTAGACATGTGCACCAGCAAAAAATTCGTTTAGTTTAGTTTCGTTTTGAAAAAAAAAAAAACATTTAGTTTAGTTTAGTTTCGTTTTGAAAAAAAAAAAAAAAATTTGTTTAGTTTAGTTTCGTTTTTCGGGTCCGAAATTAAATAGTTATATAGTTTCGGCCGAAATTCGTTTATGTTACACTATAGCCTCTGTACTCTAAGCATAGATGTGTTGTAGAGGTAAAATGGTGTCAATGGTGCAACGAAATTCGTCCAATAACGAATTTCGGGAAATCAGGAATTTCTGATTCCTTTGCATTCGTCTTAGCTGTAATTCGAATTCGGATGCATCCGAATTTCCGAAAATTCGTCCAAAACGAATTTCGGAACGAACCGAATCGCACATGTCTACGAGAGAGTAGTCAGGTCCAGACAGGGATCTTGGCAGGTAGTAAACAAGAGAGTAGTCAGGTCCAGACAGGGGTCAAAGTAGATGGCAATAAAGAGAGCAGTAAGGTAAGTATTATAGCTCCTTGTAACAACTGGTGAGAAGACACACACAACACTAGCCACTTCAAAGGCTGGAGCTTAAATACCCTTTTGGTCAGAGGATATGCTCGGTGTTGTTCAGGAACTCTGAACTCTGGAAGTCCTGACAGGGATTCTGTAAGTACCATTGGAAGTACTGGTAGGGATTCCCATCAATTATGGGTATGTGATAGGTAGATTGCAACTAAATTGTAGAAATGTCACCAGCACACCAGTCCTTTTAGGATAGCAAAAGCCTAATTTATTGAAATTTTTTGTCATATGACCAACAAGCGCTTTCGGGACCGCACAGTGTCCCTTCATCAGGCTTTAGCATTGACCAAAATGAATGAAGCTTTTGCTATCCTAAAAGGACTGGTGGGCTTTACAACTACGGGTGAAGAAGCGGCCACCCCTATAAACCATATAGAAATCCAACCAGAGGGAAACTCAATCTCAACTAGTCATTGTTCCTACAAATGAAGATGTCCATTCACCGGCTGTTCTGTGCATCTTTCTCACCATACTACCCCAATAACTCCAAGAGTGAAGGAATTATGCAGGAGTTATGCAGGTCTCACCTCTCTCATGTTTCTCTTTTACTAACAAAAGACTGTTGGCAGCTATTTTAAAGGATGGTGCCGCCATTATCTTCATTCCTAGTAGAGTACGCCTTTTTGGAGACTGGTGTGCACTTTGTCTTATTCTGTACCAAAGGGGGATTACTCTTGGGATGGGCTTGTGCCTGGGGAAAGAAGCAGGTCAAATTCTGGCAGGAGTAAGTTGGCTGGATGGAGGGCCTGGGTTATGGTCAGGCCAGGTTGGGTTGCTCTCAGGGTGTCCTTCAACCATGAGAGCAAAACAGTTAACCACATGGGGCATGGCGAGCAAAGGGTTAAAGCACACACATTGCATTTGGTGGCCCCCTGCACTGCTGCAGAACTACCATTTGTTAATATGTGGCTAGTTCACATTTATCATGTGCTGCAGCTTAGCATGTTTTTGTTAAATAGGGAACAGAAAATCCACAGGTGAACTCCTTAACATTTTTTCTGTGACATTTGTATTATTATATTTTTTGAAGTTTCCTTAAAACCTTCCTTACTTTTTAATGGAGCCTTGCTAGTCCATCTCCTTAACAGAAATGCACTGCACCTAATTTGTTCCCCAAGCCCTGTGTAAGCAAGCTCAAAATGAGTGATGCACTAGTTTATAATACACCTGCTCAATGAGAGACACCTGAGCTCAATTAACCCCTCCCCCTAACAAGAGCACTGCAACCTGAGGGGAAAAAAAAAGGGAACAGTTTAAAAAAAACTGACAGAAAAGGAAAAAGAGTTTTTAAATACTAAAAAAGGGTCTAAAAAGGAAGGGAGACAACAAGTATTCAAAAAATCAAGCACTCAATATATCCCAAACAGTTCAAATCCAAATTTTTTACGCCACTTAGCTCCCAGGCAATTTGTTCCCCAAGCCCTGTGTAAGCAAGGATCTTTGACCTACCAAGGTTTACCCTGCTCTAGGCTCTCCCACTGCAAGCCGGACCTTATACTTTGATGTATTTTGGACTAGGTGGGGAAATGTTAGAACCTCTGTCTTGTTTTCATTGCCTGTGTCTTCATTGGAGAGATGTCCATTCACTTCCTGTCTCACTGACAAAAACTTTGTTAGAAATTTGAGACATTTTAGTGGTTGTCTGTGCAAAGAATTGGGGGATACATAACAAACTCAACTTTTTCTTCTAAAGACTCGGTATGGCACGTAATAAGGTCATTTGGGGATTTAGGACGCCACTAGAAAGGAAGCAGAAAATATTTTGCAATATCTTGTGTAACATTACTGTTTATTTTATTTCTTTCCAAACAGCATTAAATGCCAAAAATAATTCTGGAAGGTGACACAGTTTGTTTGTACAAAAATAAACCCAACAGTGATTAGAATGGGGTGGAGCAGTCCAGCAAAATAAAATGTCAGCATTATATCAAAAATTTCATAAATCATATGATGGCATCTTCTGGAAGGGTTTAGACTGCTGATCATTCGATATATCAGAGACATCATTCCGGGGTAATTCCTTTTTTTTTCTTTTAGAAAATGAACATGTTCATAGGAAGAAAGCCAAGCCATTCCAAGAGCAAATAGACTCATACTATTTGTCAAACATTCAGTATAGTAGTGCAAAGTAGAGTGGTGTACTGAAACCCATCTCGTCCAATCAGAAGTCAGGTTTGCAGGACTGCATTAACTCTAGAGTCCTGAAATCCAATTTCCGATTGGTTACTTCATGTTCTTTAAAAAAAAAACAGCACCCTTACTAACAGTATTTTTTTTTAACCAAGGGGGTAATTTGTCTTCTGAGATAGAAATAAGACTTAAAGCAAACCTTCACCCTAACTCCCCCCCCTTTTATTAAATTTAGGTTTTTGCTTGTGTGTGTGTGTGGGGGGAGGGGGGGAGCTGCCGCTAATCATGCCCCCATATCCAAGGAGGCTGCAGAAGGGGAATCCTTCCCATTCCCATAGGGAGACCCTGCACAGATCTCATGCATGTACAGACAAAGATCTGGTATCAGGTCTGTTTGTATATTGTTCTATGAATGGAAGAGAGCAATGCCTCTTGCGATATGTGATGTCCAGGGCAGTCCTTATAATGAGGCAGCGGCACTCCGGCCTCTTTCCAGCTAAAGCGTGCCAGATTGCTAAGAACTCTTAGCAACCTGGGACGCTCAGACTGCCATCCCGCCCAGCTCACTTACATCACTAGGAGCCAGGAGCTGAGCGGGATGCTCTTGCTGGTGTCCCGCCCAGCTCCTGGCAACCAGTGATGTCAGTGAGTTGGGCAGGATGCCAGACATTTTGCTAGCTTCCATTGATAGTAAAATATGTAAATAGACCGCTCCAGATCTCTCTCTCTCTGAACAGGGGCAAGATCGGCACCAGATCTATTTATATACTGGATGAAGAACCAGGAAGAGAAAGCTGGCTCCCTGTGACATCAGCCAGCAAAATGGCGATGCCAGACCGGACCCGGACCTGTGGAAGGACAGCAGGACACTGGATCCATTGAGTTTGTAAGTATGTGATTACAGCATAAGAATAGCTTTAGAGGCAAGTGGGGGGATCATTTAGGAGGGTGAGGCTCCTCCTTAATCTGCATATGTAAGTAGCATTGTAGACATTTTTGTCTACAATTGTCGTAGCAAGATATTTGAGTATACTTGAAAACTTTCTTTGCTAATGATCTGGTATCATTCTGGTATAAGTAGTCCAAATAAACACTTATCAGCTCACAAAATGCAAAGTGTGTAGTGGGTTCTGCTGCACACTCTGCCAGCACCAGAAGTGGACTGGTAAGACATCTAGTAATGGTATTAGTTCACTGACTGAATGGGGTTTGCTTAAACCTCTATTGGTTATCTATTGGTCAAGTTATGATCTGCCTGCATTAAATAGAGACGCACAGAGACCTAGTGATGACAGTCTATAATAAGGCATGCAAAGAACACAGAAAGGAGGCAAAATAATAGCAGATTAAACATCAGCTTTAAGAAAAAATTAAATATAGAAAGTCTAAGCTACTTTACACTAGGTACCAGGGCAGATTTAAACATACACTCCTCACATTTTGGCGATAAGCTTAGCATTGCTTCAACCACTCGCAGTTTGGCTGCCCATCACAATCATGGGACACTATTAAAGCGCGGGGTGGGGGACCCAGGTTCTTACTACATAAGGAGCTGATTGAGTGTCAGGGATTTTACATCATTCCCAGCACCACTATGAAATCTATTGTACTAAAGTATAAACAAGCAAAAACCACTTTGGACCATTTTCTGCTAAGGGAAGCTGGAGAAGGACGTGTCATTTTTTTTTGCTACATTTCTGCCAATATTTCAACCTTTTTTTTATATTTTACTAACTTTGTTTTATACGGCACCTCATTTACGACTCTTAATTGCAACACAACTTGAAACAAGGCTTGCAAAATCATCTAAAAGAGCAAAGTTCTACGTAGAAGTTCTATGTAGTTTGAAGAGGGGAACCGGTTAGTTGTGAAATCTGGTTAGTAGGTTCTATGGGAATCTGATTGGTTAGTATCTACTATGGCATTTGAGACATCATGATTGTTTTTTTCACTGTCCTATTAAATTAGTACTTTACCATTGTTAATGAAGAATTTATCAACAGTAACATAAAACAGCTATACAGCTTGAAATGTAATGTGCCCATAATGTGTTATGGAAAAATGTAGTTTAATAATCTTCATTTAATTGTCCAGGGTCCGTTAGGGGTAATGGGGTGATTCAATGTGACTAAGGAATCATAAAAATGTACAGTGGAAGTGAAGTTCAAAATTCAATGTGTGTTCCACATTGTACGGAACACAACATGGTGGCATTGGGTCATCCAATAACTGGTTTACAGGCGTCACAGTCCATACACCTGGCTAATACATTCTCAGCTAGTTGTGAACTCAGCTTTTTAACGTAGGGTCACACAGCTCAGGACAATTTTCTCTTCATTTGATGAGGTTTTCTTCCCAGTTTCATCACATTATTATTGCACATTTTCACGGCAGCCAAAAAGTCTCTTTGGTTGGATTTTTTGATCATCCTATAATCAGCTTCATAGTCAAGAGATAACTTTCTGGAAGTCCTGAGAACATTCCTATGATTTTTGTTCTGTAATGAATAATTGTATACATATATTAATTGGAATGGAGAGAGAGAGAGAGAGAGAGCGAGAGAGAGAGAGACGCTACAGGCGTTAACGTATGTGCTTTCAAAGCACAGCAAAAGACCTGACTGTTGTGAATGGCCCCCTAGGTCAAGTTACATAACCTAATATTAATCACCATTGCATTTTATCTGCCATTTAACCACCCAAGATGCCATTTTGTAAATATTGTTCTGTAGTATATTATTCCACTGAGATTAGATCATTTTATTGGATAATTCAACATTTTGGGGTCAAAAATGGCCAAATTCTTTCTTTTCTATCCACCCGGTCAATAATAATATTTGTTGTAAATAAATCAGCCTGGAATGCAGTCATTTGATCTACTGTACATCCACTGTCCTGCCCTTTGTAGAAGCCACCAACATTCAAAGAACATTTCTTTAATCCAAGATAGTCAGGTTATACTCACCCTCTCTGCCAGTGGTGTTAGTGATCGGAGCAGCGCAGTATGATTCTAATATGGAAACATTGCATCCACAGAAGCAGCATTCCTCCACTATACCGGGCCGAGATTTGCTTCGAATTGAACCTGGTTTACCTGTAATATGAATGTTAACATAACATAAACAAATAATACACATGGGAATCTTAAACTGCACATCTACTTCACGGATTTAAAGTACCGCTCGACCCTTTAGCTCAATAATGTATTCCTCTGAAGAAAATAAAAAGATTTATTTTTTACATCCTTTTAGTGAAAATGCCTGACATTTGTGTTTTTAATGAACTGCCCCACTGGCTGAAAGTTGAAATAAAGATTATAGTGGATTGAAAAACCTGAAAACTGGTTTGGAAGCTGTTTAGGTGGACTTCCAGTTGGATGCAAGCAATGTGGCGATGGTCACTTGTAGTGCAAAAAACAAACAGAAGGTGGAGCAGTGTCTGCAGAACTGCAACATGTGAAAAAAGGGCTTTTATTTCAAACGTAGGAGCTTATAAATCTCAATAAATATCTCTTCATGAAAGAGATTTTGAAGTCTGTGACTAGTGAGCGCTCTGGAGAGGATTGTTTTCTTTTTCTTTTTTTATTAACTATTTGCCTGCTAGTTTTAAACATGAAATCAGCCGTACAAGCCAGAAGTGAATAGACAAACGTAGTTCAGGCTCACTTCACCTCGGCTGGGTAATTCACTCGGCTGCCTCCGGCAGCTTTGTGAATAGCCCCCTTAGATTGAATATTTCTTCATCTGTTTTATCACTTTTATCACATTTATTTATTTAGTTTATTTATTCATTTGTTGTGGCACTTTTTATACCACTTTTATATAGAGATGTTTATTGAGATTTCTAAGCCGCTACGTTTGAAATATTTAATGCACTTTAATTGGAACTTGTTGGATATAGACACATTGTAAGGGAAAGCACTTTTTTGGTAGCACTGTGCCCTTTTTACTCAACTATTTATTACTGTGCATGCAAGGAGTACAATTACCAATCCATGAGTTACTGGATTTCCTGATAGGTATAGCGGATTATGTCACAGGAGGCACACCAAAATAAAATCTAGTTATGTCCATAGTGAAGAGGTCTCTGCTAAAAAGCTTGATTGGAAATTTAAATGATTCTGCATAAAATGTCTGGGTCAATTCACACGAAAGTGACACTTCTGTTGGGTGGCTTCAGCAGTTTGAATTAGAGATAAGTTAATTGACTTGCCTGAACTGAATGCCCCAATCCAAGCTATACCAAAAAGCCACAATTTGCTTTACTTAGTGAATTGATAAGGTGGTCCAATTGATCATTTTCCAGTTCACTTCTAAGCATCAAAATGAGCAGCAGGCCACCCAATGGTAAGTCTGCTTTCCTAGAGAGGGGGACCTCCTTACAAAAGCTGCAGAGAGTGTGCTCAATACACAGATCAAATACACAGATCTCACCATCAGAATTCTGCAAGAAATAAGAAACTATTAGATGGTTTAATCTCTCAGTATTTGTGAAACAGTGAAATATCTGTTTTTGAAAAACTGGTCCTTGTGTTACACCATCTTTAAATAACTTTCAGCTGACATTCTAGATAAATAAAAAAACAGTTTGGTTTTCTCAGTAAAATTATTCCTCATTTGTCATTAATTTACCTTTTTTTGTAGCTTTGCCTACTATTGCTTCTTTTGCCTACAAAAATTGTTTTTTTTCACGGATGGGAGTTCTGTTATTATTTCTGATTGAATTATAGACAGGTTTACCCATCAACTGGTGGGAAGATCTTTGTGGTCCATTAACCATATAACTTAACTACCCGTAATTCTTACTGAAGTTGTACACATCATAGTTGCTGAAACAATGTACTGTGACACCTACAGGGTTATTCACAAAAGGGTGATGAGTTTGGAGAAGACAGCAGAAGTGAACAATCTAGGACAACAAAGCTAAACTGGGAAGTGAGCTGAATTGGAGAATTTTTCCAAATCAGCTGTTTTAGCCTAGATTCTTCACTTCTTCTGCCTTCTCCAAACTCTTCACCCTTTTCTGAATATGCCTGTTAATGTCAGTTTAAACATTTCTAAAAAAACAATGATATGAAAAATATGGGAAAAGGAAGAAGAATATTAGTAAATAACTAGTAAAGTGGTCTGGGTATGTATAGAGCCTAGATAATTGGAGGTAGGATAAGCTATCCTTAAAAGAAATACATACTGACATAGAAGCCTCTGGTCCCACAGATGAATTGCAGCATGTCCACCAGTTCCGAACCGCACAGCATCTCCTTTGAACGTCTGGAACAGCGAGCGTTGGAGACTCCTACGCATAGCGTAAACACCAGGGACAGACACAGCATCACCTGACTGACAGTGAGCGGTGCTGCTCTCTAGGAAAAGTGAAAAAAGTCAACGTTATATGTAAACACAGTGAGGCAAAGGCCACCCATTAAACTGTTTGATTGTGTCACGTTTCCTTCATTATTTCCTTTGAAGTATACCTCTGACTTTATTTTGCTACTTGTTGAGTGATAAAAGGAAATAAGGTCAGCAAGATGAAACTTTACACTCTGGAAAATCCAAATATGATAAATGCATCCCATCTGAAAATATAACTTCTTTCAGCATGTGAGAGTTTATCCTTGTCTGAATTAAGGTGTATCTTCTATATCCCCTGTTTATCTGCTGTCATAAAACATAAGAGATTCTTTGGATTTCCCTGTATGTCTGTATGGCTGCCCTCTTAAGGCTATTGTGACCTGCACTGTTAATTGCAGTAAACCCAATGCTGAATTTCCCATTACATGTTTGAGGCACAGTGCCTAGGACAACCTTCCTCAACCTTTTTGCCCCTGAGGAATCCTTAAAATAATTATCAGGTTTTAGGGGCCCCGATAAAACCAATTCAGTGGGGAAAATGTACCTTACATTGCTGTTCAGTGGGAAGCATGTTCCCCCCTTACAGTAGTGGCCAGAATACCCCCCTTACAGATAGCTAAAAAGATAATTGATGTCATGCCGCTGTCTCCCTCAAGTGGCGTTAGACCCAGAACTAAGCAGGCACCATCAAATGGAAGATCAGCCACAACTCAAGGAAACTCTATCAACCTCTGAAGGAACCCTTGAGTTCCATAGAACCCTGGGTGAGAATGGCTGGCCTAGGACCTATAAAGTCTGTAGAGGTGTAAAAATGTAAGAGTAGCAAAAAGAAAAAAAAAAGCCAGAAAAAGATGGTGAGAAGAAAAATGTAAACAACAAATACAATTACTGTATAATGTGCTCATCTCCAGCTTCTGATTAATCATTGCTAACAGCACTCCATAGGAGGAAATCTATGGGCAATCATGGTGTTGTGGTGCCTTGATTGTCTATAGTTCAATCAAGTGCTCTGTTTTTAACCAGAGTAGTGAAAGTTGAAGTTCACCCTAGAATTACTCAAGGAACATTAAACAGCCATATAACACATAAACATTGATAAATGCATGGAACCATGTTTGTCTTTTATCTACTCTACGGTTGTTCAGTAAGGAGCATTAGAAGGTTGCTAGCTATTGCCAGCAGCACCATGCAAGTTATAGTGTCGCTCAGCCCCTCCTAATGCTATCTACATCTTGTGATTGCAAAGCCTGACTGGGAAATGCTTCCTCTGTATGCTGTCAAATATGAAAATAGCATGAGAAGAAACACAGTCATGTGTTTCTACTAAATATAAATATTTTTTTCTGCTTGGCTGATGTCTCAGCATACACAAAATACCTCAAAAATACAATGTTTTTGCCAGTGACCCAATGCACGTGTGGTATTCACTGCCAATCATCTCGCTGCATCTCCCTGTCTGTAGACAAATACTGAAATGTTTGCTTGGCTGTGTGAAGAGAGAGGAGGGTGGAGGTCATGGCTGCACAGCTGTTCATAGGTACAACAGACAAGATAATTGAATCCTCAAGCTGAAATAAGAAAAAGAAGACGACCTACAACAAACAATGTCATATCTATGACTTATCCATGACAAAACATCATGTAACCCTGCATAACACAAAACCTTTTTTGCATACAGGGAATTCCAGAACAAGTTGTGCTTTCTCATTATATTTAAAGAATATTTTGACTTTTTAGAGATAACAGGATACAGATAAAGCACAATATAATACCGGGCCAATTCCAGTTTGCGTATAATGGTTTCAACTATAAAAGCCCAACTAATTTCCTAAAAAGGTCCCTTAGGCAATGTTAAAAAAAAGACCAAGGGCTGCAATGTTCACCTTCAATCCACAGTAGCTCTTCTTTTCCAAAAAATGTCCTCAGTCTTTGAGATTGAATGACTCAACCCGAAAGATTAAAGAACATGTAAACCGAGAGACTGACAATTAATAACCACCCTTTACACCCCTTCCTTGAACCACGGTAAGAGAAGATACATCACAAAAATGGTGAAAAACCCCTCTGTTTTCAAAGATTTATTAGCGGTCACGCGACCGCTATCTGTCCTCCACAAACTCATTTGGGAGGCTGTAATGTATTTTTTTTTTAAGCATGGGTTTACAACCACTTTAAGCACACTCTCTGAGTGCAGGGCATCCGTTTTTATTCAAAGTCTACTGGTGCACAGATGTATTGGCGCTGATGTATTGGTATCAGCACTCAGGGCCGTAGATAATTTTTTTCCCTGGGGGGGTTTAGCTTCCTCAAATTATAAGACTTTATCTAGCAGACACACCAAGGTTTGAAAAAAAAGCGACATCCGTGGCCACTTCAGCACCCCCTCCCCCCCACACACACACATTATATGGGGCTTCTCGGTCAAGAGTGCGGTGGGACTATTTGCCTGTGACTATTGGCCAGTGGGTCCCCGTGTGCCTTCTGCTTTTCTAGGTGAGAGGCTCCTCAGCCTTCCCCTAGCACAGCACTGTCAGTTCTTGCGCCGAGCAGCCATTCAAAATATGCCTCCCAGAGTCCCAGAGCCGAGTGTCAGCTTGACCTGGGATGTGATAGGACAATGGCTGCGAGGGAGATCCATCCATATGTGAATTGCTTACATCTCCCTCTCATGTCCTGTAGAGGTGGCTGGCCCGGTGTGATGTAACATTCTGGCTCCCGACACCTCTACAGGGTGTGCGAGGGAGCTGTACAAGCAATGCACATATGGATGAAGCTCCGTCACAGCACAGCAACCCACACTGGACCCCAGGCTGAGGATCCACTCCAGTTCTGATAAGGTAGGGAGACTGGGTGGATCTTAAAAAAATAACGTTTTTTTTGGTGGGGTCTCTGGTGAGCTGTGCAAAGTTTTAGGTGGGCTGTGCGGAGTCTCAGGTGGGTGTGTGGAGTCTCTGGTGGCGTCTCTGCTGGGCTGTGCGAACTTTAATGTGGGCTGTGCGGAGTCTCAGGTGGCCTGGTGGGGTCTCAGGTGGGCTGTGCGAAGTTTTAGCTGGGCTGTGCGAAGTCTCAGGTGGCCTGGTGGGGTCTATGGTGGGCTGTGCAAAGTTTTAGGTGGGCTGTGCGAAGTCTCAGCTGGGCTGTGTGGTGTCTCAGGTAGGTTGTGTGGAGTCTCTGGTGG